TTTTTTTGAGATAGAGTCTTGCTCTGTCACCCAGGCTGGAGTGCAGTGGTGTGATCTTGGCTCACTGCAGCCTCTGCCTCCCAGGTTCAAGCAATTATCCTGCCTCAGCCTCCCGAGTAGCTGAAACTACATTTGCATGACACCACGCCCAACTAATTTTTTGTATTTTTAGTAGAGCTGGGGTTTCACCGTGTTAGCCGGGATGGTCTTGATCTTCTAACCTTGTGATCCATCCACCTTGGCCTCCCAAAGTGCTGGGATTACAGGCGTCAGCCACCTTGCCTGGCCCTTTTTAAATCTTTTTGTATGTGTTTTTTTTTTAAGTGGTCAAAATAATCATCCCCCCCCCCACCATATGTCCTGCTTTCTTTCTTATTTTAATGTTTGGCTCTTGAGTTCCACCGGAAAGCAATTTTTATACATAGTATGAGATAGAAGTCCAGTTAATTTTTTAGAATACTGATGCCCAGTTTTCCCAGCATCAGTTATTTTTAAAGTTTACCTTTTCCTGTTGCTCAGAATGGATGCCTTTGTGATGAGTATATCGAGGATCTGTGTGCTTGTCTGTTTCTCTGGGCCCTGTGTCTCACTGGTCTGTTTGTCTGTCTCTGCATCAGTACCACACTGTTTTTAATATTGTTGCTGTATATGATTCTTGATATCTTTAAGAAAATCTTGGCTATTACTGACTTTTGATACTCCCAAATACATTTTAGAATCAGCTTATCAATTTCCACCAAAAAGCTTTTTAACTTTGTGGTTATGACAGGTATTGCATTGAATCTATCAATAATTTTGAAGATAATTTGCAATCTTTACAATTATTGAGACTTCCTCCATGACTGTATGGTATAATCCTTTATTTAATATCTTCCCATAATGTTTTATAATGTTCTCTATGGAGATTTTCCATCCTTTGTTTTTGTTTTGTTTTCGAGATGGAGCCTCACTCACTGTATGTGTGAGTCTCACTCACTGAGTGCAGTGGCACCATCTAGGCTCACTGCAGACCTCTGCCTCCTGGGTTCAAGTGATTTTCCTGCCTCATCCTCCCTGAGTAGCAGGGATTACAGATGTGGTTACCATGCACAGTTTATTTCTGTATTTTTAGTAAAGACAGGGTTTTGGCATGTTGGCCAGGCTGGTCTCCAACTTCTGACCTGATTCAACTGCCTCAGCCTCCCAAAGTGCTGGGATTATAAGCATGAGCCACCATGCCTCGCCCCATCCTTTGTTATACTTACTGTCACAACTTCATATTTTTAATGCTGTTATTAACAGCATTTTAAAGAATGTCATTTCCAACATAAGTATGTTTAGTATAAGGATTTTTATGGAAGTTTTCTTCTACTTCTAGTATGCCAAAAGCTTCCTCATGAATGGATTTTGAATTTTATCATGTTTTCTTCCTTATTCTGTTTTTGTGTTAAATTTTATTCGTTTTAAACCAACCTTGATATCTGCAGATAAGTGCAACTTGATCCCGATGTGTTATTCTTTTTATATATTGCTGAATTTCATTTGTATTTGGAGTACTTGTATCAATATTCATGGTTCAGACTGATCTGTAATTTTGCCACATTGTGTTTAGGTGGCAGAATGTTACTAGCCGCATACAATGAGCTGAAGAGTTTTTGATTCTTCTGTTCTCTGTTGTAAGAGGTTTAGTTAATGTTAATTATTTCTTCTTTAAATGGTTACTGGAACCTATTAGTGAAGGTGTTTGGACCTACAGTTTTCATATGGAAAGTTTTTAAACTACTCGTTCAGTTATTTTAGTGGTTAAAGATCAAGTCAGCACCAGACACAGTGACTCATGCCTATAATCCCAGCACTTTGGGAGGTTGAGGCAGGAGGATGACCTGAGCCCAGGGGTTCCAGACCAGCCTGGGCAACATGGTGAGACCCTGTCTCTACCAGAAAAAAAAAAAAATACAGACTATTTCTTCTCAAGTTGGTTTGTTAAATTGCACTTTTTAGGAATTTATTTTGTCTAAATTTCCAAAATCTTGGCATAAATTCATTCACTGTGGTTTATTTTTGAATGTCTACAGGTCAGTAGTAGTGTCTCTATTGTAATATTGATTAGCTATACCTTCTCTCTTATCAAGAGTATTGCATTAAAGTTATGTAAACTACTGTTATGTGTGGTCGCTAATTATTACGAATCTCCACATGCTAGCTAACATGATAATTGCTAGATCTGTGGTGTACGCTGCAGTCACAGTGGCTTGTCTGAGCTTTATTCAATAGCACAGTGTTTAGGCCTACATTTGGTCTTTGTGTTTTAGCTGTGTATTGTGTTTGTGTTTGATCACGGTGTTCCCACAAAGAAGGTACAATTGGAAAGGTAAAATATTAGGTGACAGAAACCAAGTAAGGAGAGAGTTTTAAAAAGGAAAGTAGTGTCCAGGAAAGTCCAAGGGGAGGACGAATTCGGAGTCTTAGATTTGACAAATAGCTTTTATTAACAGCGTTTAATTGAAAGTGGTCAACATTTTACTCTCATTTAAAATTTAAGACCTTAAATTTATTTTTAAAAGTATTTGCAGCTCCAAAATCCACTAGGCACCAGAAGTTTGAAAATTCTTAGCCAGATAAATTACACGTACACTTTCTCATTTCTTCCAGTTATTACTTGAAGCTCAAGGATGAAATGCAGTGACAGGGAATTTGGGGAGCTTTTTGTTCCTTCTGTTTCTCCTGCAGATATCATGGCTGAAATCCAGAACTCTGTAGTGCTTTCATTTTCAAAGAATTCTGGATTACCTTTCTTTAAATTAAATCTTGATTTTTTTTTTTACATGGCACATTTATTATTTTGCTCATTTGCAAAGTGCCGTTTAAATTGAGGCTGTACATCAAGCTCTACTGAGACGCACTGTGGAAGCTTGCGACAGTGTGGAGGTGGGTAATCATGCCTCTCATCTGTGGACATGCTATGTAAATGAAGCATTAAAGATGGCTTTGTCTTTTCCTTTAACTCCAGGAACTGGTGGCCCTGAAGCCCTGTAAAGCTGCGGAGCTGGTTGCTACCCATTTTTCTGGACATATTGAAACGGTCATTAAAAAACTTCAGGTACATATTGCAGATATATATTGGGAAAAAATATCTAGTGTGGGGATGGTTATTAAATCTTAATCTGAGAAGTTTTGATTGTAGTGATTTCTTCCGTTGATATTTATTAGCAGTTTCTATTAGGCTGGTGCAAAAGTGATTGTGGTTTTTGCCATTTCTTTAATGACACCAACCTAATACGCCGTGTGTGTGTGTGTGTGTGTGTGTGTGTGTGTGTGTGTGTGGTGCGCGCGCGCACGCGCGCGCACACGCGCAGTTATATAATGATCTCTTAGTTTGGAAATGAGGGAGTTCATCTTTGTGCTTAACAAATATGAGCATCAAAGAAGCCTTTCTGAAACTATAATGTACTTATTCTAGAAATCCTAATCCACAGGTCACTCTTCCCATTTTCTTTTGCTGCAGGATCCACAACCCTATTTTCTTTGAGATTCAGATTTATTCAGAACTTTGTCATCCTGAAACTGTGCTGTTTAGAATTTTTCTTGGAGAATCTTAACTAGAGTACAGCTACATGCATGGCAAATGTTGAGAAGCTCAAGTAGATGTGGTTAGTGGACTGTCTCAGGTGTTCCACTTACCACTTACCATGGCAGTGCCGATGTCGAGTTTGCTTACTGTCATTGTAGCCACAAGTGATAGAGGTAGGACAATGACAGGGACATGAAGCACCACCCAGAGTCCTCAAGTGACAGTAATAGTGGCTGGGAATAGCTGTGCAAGATGGAAATCAGAGCAGTGAGTGGGAGGCAGCTGGCATGAGAGACAAAAATATGGAATTCATTCATTCGAACACGTAGTGCAGCCCCGTTCTCTACCAGTGTGCTGGGCTCTGGGGACACAATAAGAATATAACCCTTTCTTAAATGTTCCTATAGAACAGAGAAGCACTTGCGTAATTACAGTCCAGTGTTAGAAGAGCTACACTAGAGATATGGGAAAAGTACTATAGGAACAAGAGAAGGAGAGAGTGGTGGATTGTGAGAAAGACAATGTCCAGAGAGCCCTAATCTGGTCTTGCATGCTTAATGTCAGATTTCCACGCCGAGACTTGGGCAGGGCTTTCTCGATGAAAAGGTTCTGGGCACGTGAAGCCTTGAAGGCATGAAGCAGCATGCATGCTTAGAGAACCTTCAGGTCTGTGTGAAGCATGGCGTGGGGAGGGTGATGGTGGAAGTGGCATTAGATTAAGCTAGGGATAGGTGGAGGGGAGGGGCTAAGCTAGAGGAGTTGGAATATATAGCTTGCAGACAAGTACGGAACGGTTTCTTATGTGAGGCTATGAAATTTAAACTGTCTTCTGTGTACTGAGAATCACTGAAGCTGTTTTAAGCTAGAAAGCGGTATCGTTAGATCCATTTTATGGAGTTAACTTTGGATAGCAGTGGAGAGAATGGACTGGAAAGGAGAGCAAATGGAGGAGAGAGAAGGTCTAGGCAAAAGATGGAGAGGACCAGCCCTAAGTCAGTGGCAGCTGGAGAGGACAGATTTAGGATACTTTTGTGAAGTAAAATGTATAGTATCTGCAAATTAGTTGAATGTGATAGGAAGAGTTAAAAACAACTCCCAGAGGCCGGGCGTGGTGGCTCACACCTGTAATCCCAGCACTTAAGGAGGCTGAGGTGGGTGGATCATGAGGTCAGGAGTTTTAGACCATCCTGGCCAAGATGGTAAAACCCGGTCTTTACTAAAATACAAAAATTTGCTGGGTGCAGTGACGGGCACCTGTAATCCCAGCTACTTAGGAGGCTGAGGGAGAAGAATCACTTGAACCTGGGAGGCGGAGGTTGCAGTAAGTCAAGATTGTGCCACTGCACTCTAGCCTGGGTGACAAAGCAAGACTCTGTCAAAAAAAGAAAAAAATTCCCAGATATCAAGCTTGGATGTGTAGCAAGGTAATGATGAGGTTCATTAACTGAAGAAAAAGACTCATCCATTAATTCAATAAATACTCCTGTACCTGCTCTGGGCAAAAGCATTGAGTGCTGAGGGTACAAAAACATGTAGGTTTCATCCTGTTCTCTAAGAAGAAGACAAATAAGCCAAAAGGCAATTACAGACTAGTTTGATTGGAATGATGTTGGAGCCCAGGATGCTGGAGTAGCACACAGCAGGACATGAAACCCAGGCTAGTCGGGGAGGGGAGGAGGTGGTGTCTACCAAAACTACTCTCAGTCTCCAGAGCTGCTCTCCCCTTCGAAAGTCTGCAGTTCTGGTAAATGTTGCCTGTGACGGTGGCTGTGTTGTCATTATCCTTTAAGATTTAAAATGATCACTTGTAGGATTTTCTTTTCCTTTTCTCTTTTTGTAATCTCTAAGGCTACTAAGAGACGGGCCCAGTAGATGACTAGAATGTCATTCATCAGACAAATATATCAAAGTAAAGCATGGGCTGGGCACAGTGGCTCACACCTACAATCCTAGCACTTCACAAGGTCCAGGCGGGCAGATTGCTTGAGCTCAGGAGCTCAAGACCAGCTGAGGAAACATGGTGAAACGCCATCTCTACAAAAAAAAAAAAATCTAGAAAATTAGCTGGGCATGATGGTGCATGCCTTTCTTCCCAGCTATCTGGGAAGATCACCTGAACCCAGGAGGTGGAGGCTGCAGTGACCTGTGATCATGCTGCTGCACTCCAGCCTGGGTGACAGTGAGATTGTGTTTCAAAAAGAAAAAAAAAAAAAAATTAAAGTATGATGGATAAAAAAAGGTGTCTATTTGTGGTCCATTTGTGGAGTCTTAGACATTTCTTTTAAAGAAATGAATTATTTACTTTATTGCATGGCTTTTTAAATTGTGCAAGAATCTCACATAGTACCTTTACTTACAGAGTAAACAATCTTACAAAGTACCTTTACTTTCGATGGCAAGAAATATGCCACTGACCAATTGTTTTCAGAATTCTTAAAATGAAAAATATGCCAGAATGTTAAGTTAACCAGGAAGAAAGTCATGTAAAATGACACAAAGTGATAGGGAAAAAGTAGAAAATCAAAGACTGATAAAAATAAATATATTTTAAAATCATTTTTTATATTAATCTTTTTCATCTTTAAGAGTCTCCTGGCCGGGCGCGGTGGCTCACGCCTGTAATCCCAGCACTTTGGGAGGCCGAGGCGGGTGGATCACGAGGTCAAGAGATCGAGACCATCCTGGTCAACATGGTGAAACCCCGTCTCTACTAAAAATATAAAAAATCAGCTGGGCATGGTGGCGCGTGCCTATAATCCCAGCTACTCAGGAGGCTGAGGCAGGGGAATTGCCTGAACCCAGGAGGTGGAGGTTGCGGTGAGCCGAGATCGCGCCATTGCACTCCAGCCTGGGTAACAAGAGCGAAACTCCGTCTCAAAAAAAAAAAAAAAAAAAGAGTCACCCTTTTTTTACAGGTAAAGTGTGAATGTGTCAAAAAATAAAAAACAAAAACCTAAACAATAACAATTTTTGCATAGGTTTCCCAAGAACTTAGAAATATTATTCATACTTTTGTACCATTTGAAGGTTAATCTCATTTAACCCTTCTACCCTGTGCGGAAGGCAGAGAAGATAGCATTGTCTTCTTTTTTTTTTTTTCCCACATAAGGAAATTGAATTGCTCAGAAGATAAGTAACTGACAGAAAGTCATGTAGCGAGTAAATGGCAAAACAGGACCAAGATTTTATGGTGTATTGATTGCTAACGTGTTGCAGTTTGATTGGCAGGCATCTCTTCTGTCGTTGTTTATATCGTTCATGAGCTTTTTTGGTGGTGGTTGTTTACTTGGACCTCAAACTCCCATCCTCCTGGGACAAACTATCTCACAGCAACCCTGTATTGCCACAGGAGGACCAGGTTAAGGCAGAGTGAAACCCATCAGTGCAGCCGGAGCTCAGCATCTGCAGAGCAGTTCCAAGCACCTGCCGCTCCGAGGGTCCTTGTGCTGGGAACAGCTTGGGGATTTGTCTCAGCAGAGGGCCTTTTTTTTTGGCGATAATAGGATATTTGTGTTCCTTTTACACTGAGAATTGAATGTGCAACGGTGATTAGAATTACTGAGAAGACATAAAGAACCTCCAAGTGATCCTTTAGAATTTCTTAGATCTGTACAGAGGGCTTAATGGAAATAGTCAGGTATCTGTGCATTTTAAAGGGATAGGTTAGAGTAGTTCTTTACTATGGAATAATTTGCAAAATTTGTTTTAATATTTAATTGCATTTCTTATTGTTTTTCTATTCAGAACCAGGTTTTGCTTTTCAAATTTTTGAGGAGTCTTCTTGACCCAAGGTATGTTAATAAACTTTAGTCTTTCATAATATATATAAGAAATATAAGGAAATAAATTGAGATTAAGTTCCCAGCCCATGGTATCTAAATGGTACAGTTAGCTCTTAATTTTTTATATTAGTAGGAGGAACTGTTGCACAGATAATGTGAAAATACAAGATCTGAACAATAGATTGTATCTTGAGATAATATTTTTCTTTCCATTTGAACATGAGCATATATGGTGAGTTCTCATCAGTGTAAATAAAATAATGAAGCCATGCCACATGGCATGTCTCAGAAGAGTTAGCTCCCCCTCCTGCCCTGCTTCATCCTGCCTGCTCCTTACCTCGTGCGGGAGACTGATGTTAGCTCTGCTTTCCAAAGTTAACGCTTGGTTCCCAGCCTGCCTCTAAATGTATTACGTTTCAAACTCCGACTTAATATGTTTGGTTTTAAACAACTTCCTGATGGTGGGAAGGAAGTTTAAATGTGTTTTTTCAACTGCTTCTCTGATGCTTCTATCAAATAAAAACAAACTGAAGGAGATGATGAAACTAGTAATGGATTTGTAGACAAAGCAGTTCTGCATATGAGGTTTCAAAGTTTTGCTGTAACTACATACATTGGGAGTTGAGGGCAGTCATATTTAATATCCTTTAAGATAGTTATTCTTGGCCGGGTGCGGTGGCTCACGCCTGTAATCCCAGCACTTTGGGAGGCCGAGGCGGGTGGATCACGAGGTCAAGAGATCGAGACCATCCTGGTCAACATGGTGAAACCCCGTCTCTACTAAAAATACAAAAAATCAGCTGGGCATGGTGGCGCGTGCCTGTAGTCCCGGCTACTCGGGAGGCTGAGGCAGGAGAATTGCCTGAACCCAGGAGGCGGAGGTTGCGGTGAGCCGAGATCGCGCCATTGCACTCCAGCCTGGGTAACAAGAGCAAAACTCTGTCTCAAAAAAAAAAAAAAAAAAAAAAAAAAGATAGTTATTCTTGACCAGTAGTGTGCGTCAGAATCACCTACGAAGCTTTTAAAAATTCAGATGCCTTGGCCCAACCCACAGAATCACTGGGAGTTGGATTATTTTGGTGCACACCTAGAGTTAAGCATGGAATTTTCCAAGATGGCATAGGTTTCATATCAGACATACAAACTTTAGGTGTCATAATATACGCTGGCCATTGAAAATAACTATTTACTTACTTTAGCAATTGTAATATTGTTTTTGGTTATTTCAGTGTTCTGTGCTATTTAAAATACTAGTAATTTTGTTGATTGTAAAATTTTTTTGAAAGCTCAACCATTTAAATTTTGAATAGGCTGTGATACATTTGAATTTAGTCGAACAAATGTGTATGTGTAGATGTTTACTAAAAGCAGACCGACTACATACCCCTCCACTTGTGTTCAAGACCTTTTCAAAGTATCTGTGTTTTAATTCTCTGTCCTCAGATTATTACTGAGGCTAGACATGCTTTTTAAAAATTATTTTTTAATTCCTGTTAATCATTTGTATTTCCCTCAAAGTCAGTTCAGACCCTTTTCTACTCCCAGATAATTCTGATGGAAATGTTTTGGAATTGAGTTGGGAGTGGGAGGGAAGGAAGGAAGGTGGGAAGAGGTGGGGAAAGCTGGGAGCAGGAAACGTGGAAGTAGGGTGGAGGCGGGAGCTCAGGGGAGGAGGAAGGAAACACCAGCCCCACTTCTCAGCCCTTCTCCGGAGCCTGTCCACCTCCTTTTCTGTGGCACAGTTCCCTCTTTTCCTCTGCCACACTTTTCCCAGCGTTGGATCCATCCAGTCCTCTTCCCTTAGGATAATGCATTTTAATCAAGTCCTTTTCCTCTGCCATCCTACCTCTAGAGACTCAAGTGGGAAGGACAGAGGAAGCTCAGCTTTGAACTTGGCATTTTCTCAAATGAACTAGGAAAAGTGATGGTGACCAATATTTTTTTTAATTTTAAAAAAAGCAGTATTAGGCCATATAAATTTCTGTGTCAAGGACCTAGTGTTCTGCTTAGAGAATCCCAGTTTGGATTCATCATAGTTTATCCTCTTACATAGGAGGCAGGCATTGATTTACATTATGCGCTAAACTTTTTGAATTTGATGTTTGGCGTTTCAACCATTTTTTAATAAAAGGCAAATACAAATAATGTACCTGCTTTGGCACTGCAGTCACTACTTAAACTAAATAGTGCCAAAAGAAAGGCATATTACAGGTATCAAAGGTCTTCAGTGGACAGTCTTGCTCCATTGTTACCTATACCTAGATTTGAAAGATGTTAGTTAGGTAAGACCTTTTATGAATGCTGTGAAAGTTGTTTTGTTCACCAGTAAACCACAGATAATTTTACTTGAGAAACAGACACATTTTATTTCCTCAAGCTAACCCTAACCAGGATAGTGACTTCTCACACATCACTCCTTCCCTGTCGTGTCCATTCAGGTGCAAGGTCCTTCCTTACCTACCTTGAAAAGAGGCAGCGCACTCACTGTCCTTCCTCTTCCCTTCCCCCAAAGAGCGACAGCACCAGGAGTGACCTCACTCTGACAACAGCCAAATTTCCAGCTTTACTTTTGTCTACCAGAAATTAAGAGCCTTGAAATAACCAGCTGACCTCAGCTCTACCTTTAAAAAGAGCTCACCTTTGTATTGATCTGCCTCCAAAGTATCAAAGACCAAGGATTCTGCTTTGAGAGTCCCAATTCTTGGATTCATCGTATTGTATCCTCTTATTTTATGACTTACATGGAAGCAGGCATTGACTTAGATTATGCTCTTAAGTTTATTTTTGAATTTGTTGTTTGGCATTTCAATCATTTTTATATAAAGAACATTTTATACGATAGTATCTCAAGCTAACCCATAAAAACCTCCTTAATCCGTAATATAAATATGTATATAATGCTAGTTATATATTGAATTCTGGATTGAGTGAGAGAAAGTAGGTTAAGAAGGTTGAGTGCAGAGGAGTAAGGAAAAAAGAGGAAGTCCTCCCTTTCTTGCTTTCAGAGCTGTTCTTAGACAAAGTTTGGAATTGGGTAAAGTTTGTTTTTGGTGTCCTTTGAACCCTACCTCCACCCCATTCTGTCCCCTTCTTTCCAGGGCTGCAGGGTACACACACTTCTTCAAGCTGTCTGCATCATAAGCACACCCAGATATAGAGGGTTCTTTATAGATTTAAAAAATCGAAATTACCTTCCTCCCTTTCCCTATCAAAACTGTTTCTGATTGCTTTGTCGATTTCTGTGTTGTATGGCCCTTTTTACAATGAGGAATATGTAAATAACATATGAAAACAACGAAGCATTTAAAAGATGGGAAAAAACCCAAAACCTTTTCCTAATACAGTTGACCTCAAGGGTAACAAGAAAGCAGAGAGCATGGGTTGGTTTACATTAGTCTCTGATTGAGTAACTTCTCATTACATTTTAGGCTTTTTTAGTGACTATGCTGGTTAACTAACCTAAAGGAAAGGATTAGAGTCTTTTCAGGTACTGGGAAAATGGAAGTGGGAAACGAAGGGAGGACGGAATACGGATATAGGGTCAAGCATCAAGAATGGGTAGACTGGCCCTGCCTAGCGGTTTACCTGACAGCCAGCTGTGAAATATTTTGTCTTTGTTTCTACTGTTTTTGTTCTTTTTAAGCAATAGATATTTTTAACCTACAGGTTTTTCCCCCCATGAAACTCCTAAAGCAGCATTATGAAGGAAAATAGTTATTTTGAGATGAGGACTGCTTGTGTTTTGTATTATCGCAGGGCTGCTTTTTTTGCTCTTGCCCCCAGCGCCTGAGTTAATAGGATTCTCATTCCTGTATATATAACTTATGCATATTTAATTTAACATTTGCATATATGGCCAGGCATGGTGGCTCATGTCTGTAATCTCAGCACTTTGGGAGGCCGAGGCAGGCAGATAACCTGAGTTCAAGACCAACCTGACCAACATGGTGAAACCCCATCTCTACTAAAAATACAAAAATTAGCCAGGTGTGGTGGCACATGCCTATAATCCCAACTACTCAGGAGGCTGAGGCAGGAGAATCGCTTGAACCTGGGAGGCAAAGTTTGCACACACACGTACACACACATGAATATTTACGTGTATCAAGTTGGTTTTGAGGGGGTAGCTTTTATTTTGTCAACAGCATTTTTAAAAGAGTAGATCATCCAGTTGAATTCATGTGTATATTTTGCTATGTCTTTACCCAGTGACTTTACATTATCTTTGTTATGTAAATAGTTTCCTCAGTTGAATTAATTGACCTGCAAAGATATTGGTGGCATCTGTACATAGAAAGATTAGTTTTAGGGAGAGAGGGGGTTAATCCTCCAGAAGCAAATTACTTGCCTGAATTGAGGCCAACAGCTTAGGAGAGAGGATTTGCATCCTCTTCCAACTCTTTCCTTTGGGACAGCAGCTACATAAAGCCCACTCCACCCCCACCTCCTGGGTGCCTGGGTGCGTTCCTGCTGGCTGCTGGTGATGAATTCTCACAGGAGTTCTCCTGATGTGCTTACGTCCAGATGCAGGTTCCTTATGCAGTGGGGATGCTCAAAGGATAATACAAAAGGACACGTGTTTTTGTGAGCCCATGAGCTGCATAAGGAGTAAAGAGAATGTGCATGTATATTTATGTTCACAATATTTTCCTTAGTATGATTTTCCTGGTAATGTTGATTTAGCCTTTGTTAACCATATTCTGAAGGCTTCTGAAACATATAGTATGATTTTCCTGTAAGAAAAAACACATATTTCACATTGTATCTTAAAGTCCTTAATCAAAGTAAAGTAAAAATTGAACATTGTTAAGAAAATGAGTAACTTTGCCAAGGAGCAAAATATAGATTATGGAAATGGTTATGCATTGGATTTTAGTTGAATCTGTCAGTGTTTCTGTTTATATTTTTGAAGGGACATTTTAAGATATTGATAACCAGTATTGAAATAGTGTATTTCAAAGTTAAAATACAAAATTAAAAGATTATATATGTTCATGAACGTTGACATA